CTGCCCCCCCAGCCCCCCCCCGCCCCACCCGCAGCCAGTCGGCATCTCGGCTCTCTACTTGCCCCGTCCCTCCCCAGCTCCCACTGGATCTGCGAGGTCAGAGAAAGGCCTGCCTCCAGCTCAGATCAAGTCTTGTCCCCTCCTTGCCATGAGCCGGTTCGCTGCATTGCTGGGGAGTCGGGACTCCCAGCCATGCCGCCTGACCCACCCCGCCCCGGCAGCGTCCGCACACGCGCCTGCTCCGCTGGCCGTCTCTACTTGCCCCGTCCCTCCCCAGCTCCCACTGGATCTGCGAGGTCAGAGAAAGGCCTGCCTCCAGCTCAGATCAAGTCTTGTCCCCTCCTTGCCATGAGCCGGTTCGCTGCATTGCTGGGGAGTCGGGACTCCCAGCCATGCCGCCTGACCCACCCCGCCCCGGCAGCGTCCGCACACGCGCCTGCTCCGCTGGCCGTTGTCTTGTCCTTGTTCTCGTATCTGCAGGACTTCCCCAACAGCTCGGTATCCATCCCGACGGGCTCTGGGGGGGGTGGTTACGCTCCAGGATAGAGGCCCTCACTGCTCTGCAGCAGGGCAGGAGCCAGACAGGACAGTGACCTGGGAGCAAGGACGCCTGGGCTCCCCAGGGCTCACCTCACCCCTACACTCTTCCTCTCAGCTGGAACCCATCCACGGCTCCTTCCTGCCTGCAGCGTTGGCCAAAGCGTAGACCCTGCAGTCGCACTGCGGGGGTGATGGGCGCACAGAGGGGCCCTGGGTGTAATGACATGGCTACCTTCCCAGGAGCCGTGCTCACTGGGCTACAGAAACAGAAGCCAGGTTGGCAGGAGATGCAGGAGCCAGAGGGGCAGGAGGCTGAACTCTGCTAGCATGGCTCCGGGGGAAGTGGGGTGACTCAGGGGGCAAAGGAAATGCCAGTGAGGGTTTTCTTTTCTTCTCTTCTCTTCTCTTCTCTTCTCTTTTCTTTTCTTTTCTTTTCTTTTCTTTTCTTTTTGAGAGGTTTTTGCTATAGGGCACGTACGCCCGCCGAAAGAGAGAAACAGAAAGCGAGAAATCACCCCCCCAGAGGAGATGGCCACACCGCAATCCCTTCTCCTCCATTCTCCTCTCAGGATCTTGGGCATGCACGCACACGCGCCCGGCATGAGTTTAAGCCACCGGGTCTGGGACTCGAATTGCGGTCAACTACATGGGAGTCCAGCGATATAGCCATTATGCCAACTGCTGGTCCCGCAGTGAGGGGATCCTGACACGGCACAGGACAGACCCTCTTGCTCCTCTCTTTTGCAGGGACAATGACTTTGTTTTTTCTTTTTTTCTATGCGTGCAGGGACGGTGACTTTATACTTGGGAAGGACAGTGGTGTTGACAGCAGGGAGCCAGCAGGGCCCGTTTATCCTGTCCTTTCCTTCCAGTGGGAATGTCTTCCATGTGGCCCAGGCAGGACCAATGACACCAGGAGGGGCCGGGAGGCCCTCGTTACACAGCCAGGGTGGTTTCTGGCCCCAGAAGACCAGGTGCAAATTCCCAGCCACTCCTAGCCCGTCTCTGGTAAATCCTCCAACTAGGAAAGGGCAAAAAACTTCAAGGTTCTCACTTAAGAATAGAAAGAGGCCCAGCCGCTGGGTGCGCAGTAATGCAAGCGCCCTCCAAGGCTGGAAGCCACGGGTTTAGATCTCTGGGTGGGACTGAAAATGCACCGGGCACACACACGCACCCAGGATCCCAAGGAGCCAAAGGGCTGAGGAAGGGGTCGCAGCACGGTGGGACCCTGTTGAGAGCCTCTCTCTCTCTCTCTGTCTCTCTCTCTCTGTCTCTTTCTCTTATGCATGTATGTGCATACCGCCTATCATAAAAATCAAATAAAGTTTAAAAAATGGAAAGAGGATTGAAAGGGTGGAAAATCCCCTGAAAACACTAGATCACGACTTTAGTCGAGGGAAGAGAGATCTGTAAACAAAGGGGGTGCCAGGGGGTTTTCAGAGCAGAGTAAAATCGACTTCTTTCTTGTCGGCGCCATCGCTGACTGGGGGATGGGGGACGTTCGGTGCACCCGACGTGTGACGACCTCACTGAGCCTCTGATGGCTCTCCTCAGCATCCCCGTGGACACACAGGAGGGACATGGACTGCAGTCAAGTGATTCAAATCCACTTTTACAACAATGGCTGAATCCAAGGAATACTGTTCTGCTTTGTTTTTTAGATTTTTTTTTTTTTAGAGAGAGATTTTTGCAATCATGTGTGTATACTCACTGGAGAGACAGAGACGGACAGAAAGCAAGAAATCGCCTTAGGGTCGGGGGGATTGCCATGCCACAGTCCCTTCTCTTCCTTTCTCCTCTTGGGATTTTGGGCATGCACACACACACCCAGTGTGAGTTTCCAGCCTCCAGGTCCGGGATTTGAACCACCGTTGGCCATGTGAAAGTCCAGCCCTTTAACCACTACACTACCTGCTGGCCCCCAGAGAATACTGGTTTACACAGGGAGTGCCAGGCTGTGGAGTGTGTGCGTGTGCATGTGTGCATGCAGGCTGACCACGCAGGGCAGCTACACACTGTGAGGCCTGGGAAAGCAGAGCTGGAGCCAGTGAAAAGCTCACTGCGAGGCCGGCCCTCAGCCTAGTGACTGGGGAAGCCGGATCCCACATGGCCACGAGGAGTTCACGTTCCTGCCCACCCACCCTGGCATCTTGAGAAGCATGCATCGTGTGTGTGTGTGTGTGTGTGTGTGTGTGTGCACGTGCGCACCCAAAATCCCAACAGCGAGAAGACATGGAGAAGGGGGTGCGTTCTCCTTCTCTCTGTCTGGATTTCTCTCTGGTGAGCACACACCTGGCAATTAGGAAGAAGATCAGGGCCTGGGGCTTGGGGCAGGGGTGAGTGGGTGGAGCAGGGAATTTTGAGAGCAGCCACACCTGTGATGCTGCCATGCATGTCGCTGTGCATCTGCCGCAGCCCATGGCTCTCCAGTGCCAAGCCTAACCCCTATGGAAACTGCGTCTCCGCGTGGAATGATGTTCCCATTTGGGTTCGACACTTGTGACTTGCACACTCTGGTGCTGGGGTGGGTGGCGGAGGGGCTGCACAGGTGCAGGGGCAGCGAGTGCTGGAAACGCGCTGGTCCTTCCACTCAGCTTCGCTGTGACCTTGAAACTGCTCTATAACGTGCAGTCATCTTTTCACACACACTCCCCTCTCACCTTTGTTCGGGGTCTGGCCTGCAGTGCTGCGGTGGGCGTGGGTTTCTATGGAAACAGCGAGACCAACGATGGGGTGTACCAGCTGATCTACTCCTTGGACAACGTGAACCATACCTTCTCCGGCATCGACGCACTGGTAAGGCTGGTGGGCGGCGGGCAGGGCGCACCCTCAGCCCTGAGGTCTGTGTGTCAGAACAGGCCCTGCCCGATGCCAGGGGAGCTGCACACGCGGGCCGTGCAGAGCTGGAAGGCTACGCTTCCCCTGGACTGCAGTCCCCCTGCCTGGAGCCGACAGGCAGTTCCTGCCTCCCAGGCCAGGAGGGGTGCAGGGACAAGGAGGGGACTGCAGTGGGGTGCAGGTGGGCTGTGCATCCAATCCCATTCATTTCGGGAGAGCTGGGCTCTTCCCCATTTGTTGCAGGAGACCTTGAAGGTGGAAAACCCACCTGTTGCATTGTCTGTCACCTGGCGTGCAGGCACAGAGGGCTGTGGGGGACAGGAGCTGTCAAGGGGGTACCTCAGACGCAAGTGACGGCCTGAGGTGGAGGGACTTCCCTGAAACCATGGGCACCTACTGGGCGCTGGTCTCTGGGTGAGGGAGGGCAGTGGGCGGGGCTTCTCCAGTGACCTGCCTGACCCCACGTCACCTCTGTTATAAGCACCAAGTCAGCTCCGGTGCTCCTAGAAGGAAGGCTCGGGTGGAAAAGGCGAAGGGCAGCTTTCAGGGAAGCAGGGCCTGGAGGGCTGTCAGGGCCAGGTCCCCTGCAGAGAAGCGACAGCCCAGCCAGAGGCCCATTCCTGTCATTGTCACGTAGCCTCCACCACCAGTCAGCCCCATTTGGACACTGCCTAGCATCCTCTGGAAGAGGATTCGCCTCATCTGCCCCCTCCTGCTCCCCTAAGCTCCTCTGAGGTTTTAATCCCGCAGTCAGCCCCTTTTGGGGTGGGGTGGGGGGGCTCGTCTTAAAGGGACAGCAGCCTGCTGCCCAGGCAGTTAGGGGGGCAGCCTCTGGGCCCCATAGAGGGGCTGGAGTTGAATTCCAGGGGCCAGCTCTCCTGCACAGCTCACCTGTCCACCCCTATACCCCTGGGGTCCAATGCTGATGCCCAGGTGTCAGGGCATGGGTGGGGCAGCGCTGCCACGTGAGGGTGGGTGGAGAAGCTGAGAGCCGGCATGCAGTACCCAGGCCTGCAGGACCCACGGCATCTTGATCAGGGGACCCTGGGCCAGCTCTGAGCACCACCCTAGCCTCTGGCCCTGGTGGGGGAGGGGCTCCACACCTTCTAAGCCCTGCCTGTCCCCTCCCCCCTTTAGTGGCAGAAGCCAGCCCCAGAGGAGAACCTCCTGCCCGGGGAACCCCAGACCATGGCTTTCACTGGCTGCGAGAAACACAGAGCCGCCCAGGGCGAGATGAGAGGGGTGCTGAGGAGCCGGAGCAGGCCGGCAGACCAGGCCACCGCTCTGGGGCCTGAGTGGAGACAACAGCGAGCCCCACCCTGAAGTGCCCCGTGTTCCCAAAGAGAAGGGTTCTGGGTGCAGCCCCTCGACCTCTCCCCGAAGGGTTCTGGGTGCAGCCCCTCGACCTCTCCCCGTTAATGAAAAGTGAGGCCCCGGGCTTCCTGCCAGTCTGGCTGCCCAGCCCTGTCCTTGGCCACTGCCCCTTCTCCCTTCTCCCTCTTCTTCCTCCTCCTCCCTCCTCACCCCTCCTTGCTCTCCTCCCTCCTCCTCCCTCCTGCACAGGGTCCAGGCACCACCACTTTCCCCGGGGTGAGACTGCGTTCTGGGTCTTGCTGAGGCCTGGATGCCGCTTTGGGCTCCCAGGTGGGTTCCCAGCACCCCCATCCCAAGGGCTCTAGGGGAGGCCCAGATCTTACAGTGCCCCCCAGATCTGAGGGTGCGGCCCGACATCAGGCAGGTGGTGGTAGGCCTGAAAGTGCAGGCCTGGGTAAAGAGCCTACTGTGGTGACAAGTGCCAAGGAGCCTTCAGGGATGGGTCGGGCCACCTGGGGCCAACAGGAGGCCTGCTGGGGCAGCCCTGAATATGGTGGGAGGCCCCTCCTCGAGTTCCCCTCTGGACCCGAAGCCCCAGCCCTGCATCTGGCTGGGGTGGGGTGGGCAGAGGCAAATGGCTCCTTTCTGGGGGTTCCCCATGCGGCCACCCGAGGAAGGGGGCCCAGGCATACTTCTCCCCCTCAGGGGGTCTGCTTTCAGACAAGGCCCTGGGTCTCCAGCCCTGCCCTGCCGGCTCAGGTTTGTACCCTCGGCAGGCAGGGGTTTTTTTCCCTTAAGTGAAGAAACTAAGGCATGGGGAGTTTGCAGGGATGCTACAATCTCGAAATAAAAATAAAAATAAAAATAAGAAAAAACACTAGTCCTTGCAATAAAACAGGACCCAGGCTCCAGGACCCAGGCTTTCTGGTTTGGGGCCTGTGTTCCTCCACACCCCTTGCCGTTGAGGACAAAAGTCTGACTGCTTTTTCCTATTCCTAAAATCCCTTCCGAAGGATCTGGGGTGAGTCAGGCCCACAGACATTAACAGGCCACTTTGGCCGGTTTGATAACAGAAATCTTCCCACATCCTGTCCCTGGCATGGTCTCCCTGGAATGGGTGAGTCACGCCCACAATCATTAACAGACCGTTTTGTCTCATTGATAACGGGACTCTGCCAACGCCCTGTCCTTGGGACAGTATCTTGTGACTGTATCCAAGCCCCCTTATCTCTGGTAAAGTACACTCTTTACTGATTCCCCCCCAAAACCTGCAAGCCCCCACACTCCCCTCCCACATGTCCCGCCTTTTTGGGCCAGACCCATGGAAAGCTCTTCACTAAATTCTAAACTTTGTCTCTCACCCTCAAAATCAAATCTCATCCAGAGAGAGAGGCATGTTTTGCCTCTTCTCCGGGCCTAGGTCACTCAAATTGGTGCTTAAAAATAAATCACATTAATTATTATTTTTGCAGAGTTGGTTATTTCCATCGACACCGTCACGATCTGCCATGGAGCTGGCTTCACCCGTGCCCTGTCACTGTAACAGAAGTGCCCGGACTTGGGTGTTTTATAGGCCTGAGAGGTTTACTTAGCTCACGACTTTGGAGGGCCATGGTCAGGGGCTGCATCTGTTGAGGGTTGTATTGTCGTGGGTCCTCAGCAGAATCGGGTCAGAGAGTGTCACACATGTCTCCATGTTATTCTGTAAAGAGATGTTTGCTATACGGCACATGGACTCACTGGAGAAACAGACAGAAAGCAAGAAATCAGCCCCAGGGGGATGACCATGCTGTAGTCCTCTGTTCTCAGGATTTGGGGCACACTCACGCACACACGCCGAGTCCAGGACTTAAACTGTGGTTGACCACACGGGAGTCCAGCACCTTAACTATGCCACCCTCTGGCCCCCTTTATTGTAATAAAGGCACCAAGAACTAAGCATGGGGGTCCTGCCCTGAGGACCTCACCCCACCCCGGTCACCTTCCAAACTCCGATAAAGCCCCCACCCTCTCCATACCGGCACAGTTGGCTCCCTAGTTTCAACACATGAATTTCTGGGGGATACATCTAAACCAACCACAGCAGGGGCCCTCCCTCCACCTGCTGAGGCACCACACCCCCTGGGCAGCTGCTCTCAGCCTCATTAAACCGAGGCCTTTCCTTCTCCCAGGGGTTTTCGATTTGAGCTTGCATCAGAATCACCTGGTGGGCTTGTTAAACCCAGACTGAGGCCCCTCTGGAGCCTGGGATGGTCTAGAAATAGGCTGAGAATTTGCATTTGATGCTGCTGGGAGCTCAGGGGGTCCTGGGGGGGACACACTCCGCTCCATCCTAGGGGACAGTCACAATTGCCACCACCCTCCAGCTCGCCCAGCCCACCCGGGGACTGGGCATCCCTCTCATCCTTGGAGCGTCCCTCTGTCTCCCCGTGGAATGCACTGTGTGCTGAACCTCTTAGGAACTGGGGGTGGCGTGTGGACGTGGGGCTGTAAGTAGGTCAGTGTTGTGACTATTTTTTTTCCTGTGAGAACACATCAGCAAGAAAGAGAGGACCTGACAGCTGTTTTTTGGGGGGGGGTTTGTTTGTTTTTCTCAAGGAGGGGTTAAAAAATAGAGAAGTTAACATTTTAGATCTGGGGAAGGAGAAAAGGTGTGCTTACAGAAAAAGCTTACGGATTTTTTTTGACAGCACTTGGCTGTGAAGTTCGATAGGGGACAGAAACGTAAAATATTATGTCCTGCCGGGTTTGCTGGCCACACGGTATTGAATCATAGAGCCGTTTGTATCCACGGCCTCAAAGTATGTCCACTTATTAAACGGAACGGGGCAGTTTAGTAGGGTGACATTTCGTTCCTGACGCGCTTTTCCGTGGCTTGGGCGTCGTTCTCCAACCATCTCTACGCTCTGGTGTCTCTTAGCCCCTCTCCAGCTCGTCAGGACCAGGCGCAGGCCAGAACACAGAACAAGCCACTGACACTGAAAAAACAGAACAAAGAGCCATTCTCTTTCTGGAACCAGGAACTCGCAGCCTAGCGCAGATGTAAAAGGCCACAAAGTTTCTATGCGTCCCGGAGGGTGGCAAATCCAGGGGGTGCGCTGGGGTTGCTATCTGCTGGTCCCTGGGAAGTTTCTGCCTGCTCTTCCTCTTGCTTTATCTTCCAAACCCAGGGGGCTGAAGGCCGAGGATTGTCACACTGCCCTTCCCAGCCAGTTGTGCTTCTGGATCTAGCTCTCTTGTTTCAGAATAACAAAGTCCTTTGCCCTGGCTCGGGGCAGGAGGAGGGCAGGGCTTAGGCTGCAGCCCGCCCTGGTCCTTCTGGAAGCCTACCTGTGCGTTCAAAGCCTGTGAGGACTGTCCCTGCCATTCTTCTGTTTCTACCGTTGTATAGACAGGTGCTTCCTTCAGGGTGCTCAGCCTCGGCCCCTGACATCCCAGCTCTGGGACTAGAGCCTGGCTGCGCACCTGGCAGGAAAGACATCCCACAGAGGCCAGGAATACACAGAGAGGCACCAATTTCCACCTCCGGTCTCAAGTCCTGGCGCCTTGGAGGCAGGATCTGGTCTGTTTGTGTGTTTTTTCAAAGCACGATCGTTCGCCTTGATCGTCCGCCTTGCTCGGTGTGCAGGACAGTGTGTGCTGTTGCTGGTTCTTTTTCTTTTTCTTTTTTTTGGAGAGGTTTTTGCTATAGGGCGCATGCGCTCGCCAGACAGACAGAGAGAGACAGACAGACAGAAAGCGAGAAATCACCCCCCAGGGGGGATGGCCACGCCACAATCCCTTCTCCTCCATTCTCCTCTCGGGACTTTGGGCACATACGCACACGCGCCCGGCGTGAGTTTAAGCCACCGGGTCCGGGACTCAAACCACGGTCGACTACGTGGGAGTCCAGTGACATAGCCATTACGCTAACTGCTGGTTCTTTGAGAAAATCTTCCTCTTGCAGGACGTCTATAGTAGAGTCCTGCTGCAGATTAAAGGCCAGGTGGCAACACAGCTCTTCAGTGCAAACTTCTTTAAAAGGGAATTCATAATCTGGAATGTCTAAAGTTTTCAGAAAATCTTCTAAGAGGAAAAAGCAGTTATTGTGCTTGTCTTCCCACCTGGACCTGGCTCTGTGGTGAGGACCTGGCCATTAAGCCCAGGTCCCAGTGCAGGCCAGAGCAGGGCTGGGCGGCCAGATGTGTTCACTCAAGCCTAGCAGCTGCCTTCTGCTTGCAGAGATCTCTGGGATGAGAAGCAGGTGCTGCACCTGCCTGCTGTCTCCCTCCGGAGGGCCAGGTCCACACCTCCCCTCCATCTCTCCCTAGGTTTCCGGGACCACCCAGAGGATGAAAGTGGACCTGGAGCAGCACCTGGCCCGACTCGGTGAGATCTTCGCCGCCCGGGGCGACTACATCCAGACGCTGAGGTTCACGCAGCAGATGGCGGACAGCATCGTGGCCCAGCTCTCAGTGCTGCCCGTGTGGAGGGAGGCCACGGTGCAGCTGACCGCACTGTCTGACCAGACCAGCTACGTGGAGTACTGCAGGTGAGGCCCGCAGCCTCCTCCCCTGCGCCGCCCTCCCTGAGGGGCATGAGCTTAGACCTCAGCCTGTGGGTGTCCAGATATGTCTCCCCTGCCTCCCCAGTCCCCAAGCCCACCCCGGGGGCAGGCGCTGGACACAGGTCCGAGACCCCAGGCCAGATGCTCTCCATCCAGGCACAGGACCTGGTAACAGTCACGCTGGGGAAAGCCGAGGAAGAAGGCAAAGGCTCAGCCTCTGGGCCTCCCTGGTGCGTGGAACAGGTGCCCTCAAAGTGCCTGGCTCAAGAGGGCCCGAGGGCGGGTGGGTCATCCAGCAGGGGTTGTGGTGAATGAGCTAGGGTGGGGGGTGCGCGGCCAAACTCCGGGCCGGGTCCTGGCTCTTTGGGCCCCCGCCCCCAGTCGCTAGCCCCTCAGGAGGCCATGAACAGGCCAGAGCCTTCGTGGGTATGTGTCCCACCATGCACTCTGCTTTTCTGGTCCCTCTGCCCTGTGTCACAAAACCCCACCCCAGGAAGTCCCTGCCGGACTAACACTGAGTCCAGAGACGCCCTCCAGGGCTCTCTCCCGCTGAGAGCAGGACATGGCAGGTCCCTGGGGAGGGACGCCCAGAGTCCCCACCCTGGCCTCCACACCGCATCTCCACACTGTCACACACGCGGCATGGAAGGGCCCTTTCTCTGATTCCCCAGCAGGTGGGATGTGGGTGCTCATGGGCAAAGTGCCCTCCTCCCAAGGGACCAGGAGAAACTGCCCCCTGACCACCTGCCGAGGCCTCCTGTGGCCCCAGGCAGTGGCACCTGATTAGGCGTGCCGCGTGGGGCTGCTCGCCGCCTGGGCCCTGGGCGTCCTGGGGGTGAGGGCGGGGTCCATTCTGACCTTGCTCTTCCCCAAGTGGCCCTGGCATTGGACCATGTGGGCTTTTGATGGCAATAATGAAATGAGCCCTAATGTGTCTATCAAAGGAGCAGATTGTCACATGGTTTCCTTAAAATAGGAGCCCTGGTGACTGCACAGCAGCTATTTCAGTGTGCGTAATTACAGGGGTCCCCGAGACCCCCCCCAGCTCCCCTCCGCCTGTTCAGTCCGAGGCTGGCACCTGTGGCTCCTGACATGGACGACATTCTGTCCCTTCCCGTCACCTCCCTTCCTTTCCTGGCTGGTCGCACCAGAGCTGCTTAAAGCAAGTAGGGGCCGGGTCTCCCCTAGAGCCTCCGTCTTCGCTTTCCAGATGGTTCTCTAGCAGGGCCGTCCAGCTAGGGAAGTAAGGCCTGACCAGGTATTGGAGGAGCTCAAAGGCCAAGAGAGGCCGTGCCCAGGGGATGAGGTGTGTGCAGGTCACATCGGCAGAGGCCGGCCAGGGAGGAGTTGGGGAGCCAGGCCGGAGCCGCGACGGTGGGCGAGAGCCAAGTTCTTGGTTAGAAATTCACCTCCCAGGCCTCGTGGGGCTCCGCTGGGAGAGCTGTTTCCAGGAACCCCATGCAGCAGGAGGCCTGGATGCAGGGAGAACGCATTGCATCAGCCTGCAGGGTGGGCAAGAAGCAGCCCAGCTGGCCACCGTGAGGTGCAGGAGGGAGAGCAAACTAGAAATCTGTAGGCTGGACCGTGACACCGGTGCTCTGGGTTGGAAGAGGGGTCCTGTGGCTGGCTGTGGGGAGCCTGGGACTCCCGGCTGGTTCTTTCCTCTCCCCTGGACCACAGTTTTCCAGTCTGTAGAATGGGACCCTTGCTCTACCAGCCAGTTCCTGAGTGTCTTCCCAACTCCAATTCTAAGAAAAGTGGCTCCTTGGTGGCCTTGAGCCTGTAGAGGGTGGGGTCTGCCCTTGCCTCACAGCCCCCCAACTCTATCCTGGGAACCCAGAGACTTGCTCTTGCTGCCCCCTGCTCTGTGCAGGGAGTCAAGGATTTAGAGCCATTGGCACTAAGTCTGAATTCACACAGCAAAAAGAACCTCCCTTAGCTTCCGGGGCCTCCCGCCTGCTCCCTCCCCCTCAGAGTCTCTGTCTTCCCGCCTGCTCCCCCTCTCCCTCGCCATAGTGCAAACTTTCTTATCCTCTTTAAAGTATTAATGAAGCAGAAAACCACTGCTGGAGACAAGGAGTCAACTAATTTATCTGGCTCTGCCTCAAGAGAATGCCCTGAAGACTAATTTCTTCAGGAGCTGAGAGAAGTCCCCTCTCTGCATACCCTCCCACCCCGGCCCCACTGCACCATGGCTCAGATGGGTCCCAGCCCAGGGGTCCCCAGCACAGGACTGCTGAGCTCAGCTGCTGCTGCCGAGATGTGCAAACCGCCCAGGTCCTCCATGGAAGGGAATAGAACCGGGGCCGTGTTCAGGACCTCCCCCATGGTCTTGAGAGTCTTCAGCCAGTGCTCTAAGAAAGCCTGGCCTTGCCTTTGCATTTAGCAAGCACTTAGTCCTCACTCTGCCCCCTTGTGGGATGGTGTTCCACCTTTACGGAAAATAAAGCTGTACCCAAAGGGCCCAGGTGCTGACAAGGGCCCCAGCCATCTGCCAGGGGCTGGGAGGCCTGGAGGTTTACAGGTGTCCCGGGCCGTGCTGACTCTCGCTCCCTAATGGGCAGCCCCGGCCCACTGTGGCCGTATTTGACACAAATATCCCCCCAGACTCCCACACAGCAGGGGCGAGTTGGGAGGCCCTGGGGAGCCCAAGCTGTGTGTTACAGAAGCCTCGTTTGCCAGGCTGTGCCTGATCTGGCGCTGCCCAAACCTTGTGGAAGCAAAGGGAGTCGGGTGCAAGGAGTTGCCATGGGGAGGCTGCAGGAGACCTTTGCAGCTGTGCTGTCCAGGCAGTCGCTGTATATGTGCGTGTGGAGGGGGAGTTGGGGGGAGCCCCTGGCTAGGCGTGGCTATTTAAATTAATCAAAATTCGGGAAATTGAAAATGGTTCTCCAGAGCCTGCCCGTTGGCCTGATGGTTACAGGATCTGATCTTCCATGACCATCTGCGGTTCTAACCCTGGCCCCAGCAGCTCGGAACACGCCGGTGACTGTACATGCGTGTTCCAATCCCAACAGGATGGAGGAATGGAGGGGGGTTGTGGTGCGACCACGCTCCACTGGGGGATGCTTTCTTCCTCCACCTCCTTCTTTGTCTCTGTGGCTAGTTCTTGCCTCTCTGGCAATTTTTTAAAAATTAATTTCCAGGACCAGCGGATGGCATAGCAGTTACATTGTTGAACTCCCCGCAGTTTGAGTCCCAGACCCAGTGGCCTAAACTCAAGCCGGGCGCGCGTGTGTGCATGCCCAAGATCCCAAGCAGAGAATGGAGGAAGATGATTGCACTGTGACGTGGTCATCCCCCACGTGATTTCTCGCTTTCCCTCTCTCTGTCTCTGTCTCTCTCTAGTAAGCACACATACTGTCTAGCCAAAGAGTACTTTAAAAAATCGATTTCCTGCTTCGCACAAGCTGCACGCCCATTCTCAGCAGCCTCCTGTGGGTGGTGGCAGGCCCAGTGTGCAGTGCAGATAGAGAGCCTTTCTGTCACTGCAGAAGGTTCCAGCGGGCCCCGTGCAGGCTTAGACACAGTCAGGAGGTTGGCAGGGGTGGGAGGGTCCATGCAGAAATGAGGGTCCAGTCCCCAGAGCCCCTGCAGAGCTCTCAGCTCAAGCACAGGGAGTTCTTGCTGGCTCCGGGCAGCTTGTCGTAACAAAGGACGAGGCGGGCTTTGGTGGGCAGCAGGTGGGAGCTCTGCCCTGACCGCCATGCCCCTCCTGCCCAGGTGGCTCTCCTACCTCCTACTCTTCATCCTGGACCTGGTCGTCTGCTTCGTTGCCTGCCTGGGACTGGCCAAGCGCTCCAGGTGTCTCCTGGCCTCGTGAGTATCTCTGCTCATGGCCTGGGACTAAGCCAGGCCAGGGGCCACCATCGGAGAGAGACAGGTGCCTGCCCACCCCAGCACCCAGCCCCAAGACGGGAGCCCCGCCTCCTCTAGCCAGCTCCTCCCCCTCGGTGCATGTCCCACATCTGTTCTCTAGCCTAGGGCCCCGGGCATGGCGTCCAGAGCCCTCCTGGGCAGTCAGAAGGCAGATGTCAGGGCAGCATGGGAGTGCAGTCGTCCTGGGGCGGGACCCCACGGTCTGCCTCTCTCCTAGGATGCTGTGCTGTGGGGTGCTGACCCTGCTCCTCAGCTGGACTTCCCTGGCCGCTGACACGGCCGCTGCAGTGGTAAGTTGGGAACTCTGGGTAGTGGGTGGTCCGGCGAGGATGGTCTGCCCACCGTTACGTTCCATGCCAGCCCCTAGACCAGGCCATCTTCCAGCCACAGTGCCTACCCTAACTAGGACCCCAGAATCTCGGCGCTAAAGGGACTCGGGTGATCTGGACCAGCTCCTTTATAGCTGAGGAAGCCAGCCCAGAGAAGAGAGGGGCCCCGAGGTCGCAGGGCATTGGGGCAGAACTGAGATAAGACGTCACTGGTTGTAGGACATGCGCAGGTGACCAGATGTCTTCTCTCAGCTGCAGGGAGTTAACCAGGTCTGCTGGGGATGGGCAGGGGTCTGAACCTCAGATGGGGGGATCCCCTGGGGCCTGAGAGGCACACCCTTTGGCCAGCATCCTGACCCTGTGGATATAGAGTGTGGCGTTGACCTCGCCTTCCACGCCGCTGTCCTTACACTCCCAAGTCTAACACACACAGGCGCGCGCTTCCAAGGGTGATGCTACAAAGTGCTTTCTTACAAAGGCGGGCTTCCTCCATGCTATATTTGGTCTGTAACAGACCTGAGGCTCGCGATGAAGCCCGTGCTTGAGTGCCGCTGTGTGAACGAGCACGGCTGTGTGGCCCTCGGCAGCACCCGGTGTCCAGGGTGCAGAAACCAGGAGGACCTGAGTCTGCTGGTGATGAAAGGACAGCCCGCAACCCCGTGAGACTTACAGTGGAGGTGCCCGCATGTGCATACACGTGAGCTAGAGAGGGCACGGGACCCCCTGCTGATCCAAGGGCAGAAACTGACCTTGTGATTGCAGCTGTTCTGCCCTAGCAGCCTGGGGGTGGAAAGATAGGGTCTGCCAGGACCCCCTACCCTACCTCATGCCTTGTCCTGGGACTGGGCAGGGCTGGCTGGTCGCTCTGGACCTGGCAGTTTGCCAAGACACCCACTGAACGCGTGGACCTGATGCTGCTGGGCTCGGCAGCTTTGGATAAAGCCTGGTCCAGAAGGGAGAATGCAAGCACCCGCTGCCTTTACTGGATGCCCCCTCCCTCCCTGCCACCTCCACCATGCAGGGGCTGGTACCAAGGACAGTTCCAGAAAAGAGCAATTGAGAGGTTCAGGTCCCGCTCAGAGGCATCAAGAGCTGGCAGGGCTGGGAACAGTGCAGGGGAGAGAGCCACTGGGGCTGGAGCTGGGCCCAGCTGCCAGGCTGGCTGCCGTCCTGCAGGGACATTGCAAGCTCAAGGGAGCATTCAGGAGTCCCAGGCCTGCTCCCTGGCATCCTCTGCCTTCTGGAAGCAGTAGCTACCTCCAGCTTGCTACCAGGAGCTGCCCTTTGGGAGCCAGCCCCCTCCTGGCGGGGGCTCCCCCTCACCAGGCTGCAGTGCTCAGGGAAACCAGGGTCCTGTTATCTCCCCAGCTGGGTGCCCTGGGATGCCGGGAAATGTGTTTCCCTAATTCCTTTAGTCAGGCCTGGGGTGGGGGCAGCCAGTGGGGTGCAGCTGAATGGGCCTTTGATGGGGCTGGGATGTGCTGCATTCTAATGGAGAGCGAGGCAGGCGGAGCCGGGAGTGGAAGGGAGGGACCAGCCGTCAAGGGGGTATTGTGGAGCTGCTGTGGCCTCCCCTGCCACCCTGTGCTCTGAGGCCTGTTTTGAGAGCCAAAGGACCCAAGGGCTGTTCCTCCCTCCCCCTCCCTTTCCTGTGCCCAGAAAGGACCTCCCTGAGGACTGGGCAGTGCTCCCAGAGAATCGGCTGGGGGGGGGAGGGTGACTGTGAGCCTGGCTGCCACCTCTGAATGGCCTGGCAGCCTCCTGCATGGCCTGGGGGGTAGGCCACAGGCACGCTGCCCTGAGGTGCATCTTCAGGCCTGCTGGAGAGAAAGTGCCGGAAGGAGGGAGGGGAGGGCAGGTGGATTCAGCCAGAGGAGGGGAGGGGCCCCAGAGGGTGGGAGTGGGGCCTCTGGAGCCCCTGCCTGAGCCCACATCCCTGCTCCCCCCTTTCCAGAAGAGCAGGAAAAGCTACTAAGTTCTCTGGACCCTTCCCCAGGTGTGGAACAGCACGGAATGTACTTGCCTCAAAGGGCCTTTGGCAGGAAGGGAGGTGTGTGTCTGCTCAGTGAGCATCACCGCCCCCGGCCTCACGTCAGCCTGTAGGGGTCACGGGGACTGGGCCCAGTCCAGCACCTCTGCTCTCAGGGCTGTCTGCAGGTTCAGCCGGCACCCAGGCAGGAGACAGGGCAGCTTCTTCCCCC